CTGTGACGTCAATAAAGTCAATAAATCAATAATATCATTATAGTTATTATTATTATTCATGTTATTTTACAATGGTTAATAGAATGCTAATCAAAAATAAACACCATAGCCTCTTATGATATAAAGATGAAAATACAGATACTTGTGTTAAAATGTATGAGTACAAGTCAAAAGTAGGAAGAAAAATAAGTAATGGATTAAAGTATAGATACCTAAAAATTGTACTTAAGTACAGTAACAAAGTATTTGTACTTTGTTACTTGACATCTCTGCTCAGTTTCTATAACTGTTAAAGTAAACTGGTCCAAAGAAACAGTAAATTTCCCTTCTGTCAGCTCAGTGGCGTAGCGACACAATAGGCCCGTAAACAGCATTATCTGGGTGGCCCCCATGTGAAGTACAACATATGATAAAGGTTCAGGATACAGCGACAGTTCTAGAATAGTATAAGATCACACATCACACACGGAAAAATAGTGACTGCGCACTTTGAATGGAACCATTGGTGACAGCGCACCACTACGTTACAGAATTCCATGTTCCAAAACCTCATTTCAGGGAGTTCTTCCAGCAGCTCTTCTTTGCTTTTTCTTTTCTGGAATCCGCTTAAGTACCTTTTTTGGGTATCCATTGTTGCTAACAAATTGTACGTAACTTTTATAGTTTTAATCTATGCTCTGGATTACCCATACTTCCAAGTCATAGTGTAAAAAAATAAAATATTCAAATACATTTTTCTTTAAAGATCTTTATTGCGGTTTGAAACATATTATATGAGTGTATTTTTTACCAACCGTCTAATGAACTATACATAGTTATTAACATAGTAATTAAAAGTACCACTGTTTTCACTATTGGTGTCGCGTTTAAACGGCTCACCATCATGTTGAAATATGGCATGTGTTGGGGTATAAATAAGGTCCGGTGCGATTAGATACTTCAGTATTAGATGAGTTAAATAGGAATTTTTTGCACCATGTCATCTGCAAAGAGACTCCCTACAATTGCGTTGGGGCGACAGTGGCGTTGGATGTAGGAGTTTGCCCTGAAATCGAAGGGTTGACTCTGACTTTCATTGTCGTTGTGTCCTTGGGCAAGACACTTCACCTGCATTGTCTACTGATGGTGGTCAGAGGGCCCGCAGGCGCCAGTGTACGGCAGCCCCGCTTCTGTCTGTAGCTTGCCACCATCAGTGTGTGAGTGTGTGTGTGAATGGGTGAATGAATGTAGTGTAAAGCGCTTTGGTCAAGTCTCCTAACTTGAATAAAGGCGCTATATAAGTACATGCCATTTACCATTTACCATTTAGGGGCCCCTAAAAGGCCAGGGGCCCTTCTGTCTCTGTTTACCAATATTGACGCCATTGTGTCAGCTTATATAATAAGAACTTGATGTAGTATTATATTTTCATTAAAGGGGCTACAACCCATGGGCATAGGTTTGCATAGAGACCATAGGGACATTTCCCTACCAAAATTTTGGACTGACCTACTTGTCCCTGCCAACAATTAGATGTGAATAACAAGTTTATTATATAAATAACAATACAGCGTTGTTGCAGCAGTAGAGGGGATGGAGAATATTGACAGACGAAATTTTTTTTTTATCTAAAATGCAAATGCTTTTATATATATATACCGTATATATATTTTTTTTTTTACAATTTTGGTATAATTCCTGCGATTACTAAATTTGTTGACAACATTTCAATAATCGATTAATCCAATGAATTGTTTCAGCCCTAAATAAAATACATGAAATGGGTTAAACAGAGTAAATACAGCCTACTGTAGATGTATAACTTTTAGAGTGAATGTTCTAAATGCTCAGTGTTAGTACCTTTTTTAGTTCCCGTGCTCATTTAAATAAAATAAATTCATTTGGCGTCCCTTGAATCTATTATTTTGCTTTGTTTCATGATACAAAGAGCACATTTAAAAGATAAGAGTGGGTTTTACCTCTGTTTACCATTATCAGTGTAGCTGTCTGTTTATATATCTTCAAAAAAAACTTTTCAAAGGGGAAAATAGTCCTAATTCCATAATCATTAGAGCCAGTGATGCTTCAAACATTGACAAACAGCATCTAGTGTGTGTAGTGCTGTATTAATGTAGCAAGAAATGTTGCTTTTGTCTTAAATTAAATACGCCCCATTTTCACGTCAAGCATAAAAAAATTAGCAAGCATATTTTTGCATAGGACCAATGACATCAGACCAATAGTGTCCATACCAAAGTTGAAATCAAACCTACGCCCTTGCTATAACCAGTTCTACAGGGGTACTGGCCCC